CATGGACATGAATAATGGTGAAGGGGGATTGCCTGAGGGAGTGGAGGGTGTTGGATAGAGGGGTGTGTGGGGGGGGAATCAGGATAACTGTAATAGCATAATCAATGAAATATTTTAAAAAATAAAATAAAATGTAACACATTAAATCCCCTGGTTAAAGCCTTAAAAAAAAGATACAAGAAACGTTGTACATAGGACAATGATGCCTCAGTCCCCTTCAAAGTAGGCACCTTGGGACCTCACACAGTTCTCCCAGTGACTCTTCCACCATTCAAAACACTGTAAAACCATTTGTTGGAATAGCCATCAGCTGCTCCATCATATTTTCTTGGATCTCATCGATGGTTTGAAATCTCTTCCTTTTCACAGGTGATTTGAATTTTGGGGTAAACCCAGAAGTTGGAGACCGCAAAATCTGGGCTTTAGGGGGGTTGAGTCACTTGAGTGGTATGATGTTTCACCAGGAAACTCTGCATGAGACATGATGCATGAGAGGCATGTTGTCGTGTTGAAGTTGCCAATCACCAGTTGCCCGTAGCTCAGGCCATTTTCATCATATTACATTTCTCAAAGGATGAAGAACAAAGAGGTAAAACTCCTTATTAATTGTTTGGCCTGGAGGGGCATACTCATAATGGACAGCACTTTCCCACTCAATAAACATAGTTAACATGGGCTTTGATCTTGCTGCAATTTTTCTGTGCCTTCTTTGGGAGTGGAGAACCAGGCACCTTCCACAGGGATTGCTGGGCCTTCGTGTCTGATCATAGCTGTAGACCCATGATTCATCTCCAGTTGTGGCCTTGAGGAAATCTGGTTCATTGTTAAAGGGTTGAATCAAGGCATTAGCAACTGCAGCATGATTTTCCTTCTTCTCTAGTTGCAGAAGCTGCAAAATGAATTTTGCCATGACATGTTTCATGCCAAGATCCTGCATCACAATCTTGGACACAACAGTTTTTGGTGATCCATGTTCTGGAATGCCTGAAACAAGCAGAACACCGGAGAATGCTGAATGTGTACAGCATTCTCCGGTGTTCTGCTTGTTTCAGGCATTCCAGAACATGGATCACTTTCAACAGATTTTCAACCATCTTTGAAGCATTGTGTTGCACTTTTATTTGCATTGCACTCATTGCATCATCCTCAAAAGCCTTCTGAATCATCCAAATAGTTTCCATGGAGGAACGTTCAAGCTTAATGCAAAATTTGATGCAGATTTTTGTTCTACTCTCCCATTTTGAATGCAATGTTCACACAGTACATGTGCTCACTCAACGGTGTCTACCACCCCCACTGACTAGTACAATGAAGTGGTTATTGTTCACATATGCACATTCAGTTCACTCTCCTCAGCTGCCAGGTTCCATCGATGTCACAGAAACTGTTCTCATTATATTAACAATGGCTGGGGTTTTCCGGACAGATCTCATATGTGATAGAGCAAACCCATATTACTTAGATCCTGAAACTTCCTAACCCTTCCATTCCTTGTGGAACATCCTTAGCCCTTATCTTTTTGAATAATTCCTTTTCCATATTCCAATCACACATATCATACATTTTGAGGTTGTTTTTAGGCTCTGATTGGAAAGCATTTGGTGGAATTTCTGTTCTGGCTCTGGATTATTGTAGCTGTGGAACCAGTCTTAAAGCTTGGAATGCTCTTTCAGCCATGCAGGCTGGGGGAACCTGTGTGCACAGGTATCTGTGAACCTGCAATAAAAATGCTAGTTTTTTAAAATACCATTGCCTGTGTCTTCATACAATGACCATCTTATGTCATCTCACCACAACCTTGGAAGTGGATAGTGCTGCTATCAACATCCCCATTTTACAGTTGAATAAACTGAGGGTTAGACAGGTGAAATAACATCCCCAAAGTCCATGGTTAAGTTAAGAGTTAGAGCTGGGTTCATATTTCAGCTCTGAATCTGGTGCTTCTCCATCCATTCCATTCTTGCTGTGCATGTTTGGGCAGGCCTAAATGGAGACACCCAACTCTACACCCAACTTTCTGCCAATCTTATCACAAACATCCTGTGAAGCTTCTCTGGCCCTCACCCCCACCCCATGGTGGTATGCCACATACTAGAGAGACAATATTCTTTCCTCCCCTTTCTCTCTTGGTCCCTGTATATAAAGACATCCACCACTGCTGCTAACAGATCTCAGATAAAGGCAAATGAATTGTTGATCCAGATCACAGAATTTATACCAAAATTTTCATAGCATTTCTGGGTAGAAACAATGGCCAACAGCGTCTTTTCTTGGCATTACTTTTTATTGAATACAGACTTACAGTCTTTAAATAATTTAAATATAGTGTTTTTAATGTACAGTTCTTTAGTCATATATATTTCTCTAAAGCACAAAACTATAACTTAGAATGGAATGGCTGTAAATGCACATGTACATATTGCCATAAATCTAAAACTATTTTTATAAAAATAAGACTCAAATAACTATATATTTTGTCAACATAGCAGTATTGTTATGTGGCCACATACATTTTTATTATGCAGCACTATCTCAAAATGACTGTCTCAGGTTTCATTTTCCATCTCTTTGGGGACAGTCTCTTTTACTAGGATCCCCACAGAGATGCCCATGGCCATGGCTCAGTGTTGCCTTTGCATAAAGACTCTGTGCATCCACTTGTGCATGGAGGGGGAAGACCAGCTTCCAGCCCTTTCCTCTGTGAGAGGAGGTATCCCTCCTGCAAAATGTCCCCTGTCACACTTCTCAAAGCCCTCACAATGCATTGTTAATATCTGAATATACAGAGCCAGTTTCCTTTTCTTATGCTCAGAGAAGGGCAGGTGTGAGTTCAGTTCTGTCAAATCAGTATAAAATATTTGAAATGAAGATCACTCACACAGTGTCTACTGGGGAAACAACATCTTGACAGTGGGCATCAGTGCCCATCTGCTTCTGCAAGACCTTTACACATGTGATCTGCAATCCTCACAGCCTCACAAGGTTGGGACATTCTTGTCCCCATTCGATGAGTCTCTTGGACAAAGTCAGCAGGGCTCCTAACTCCAAATCCAGAGCTCTCTACCTGCTCAGAAATCCCTGAAGTGAAATCAGAAAAGAATTCAGGTCTGCACTACAGTCATTGGGTGAGGACAGACAAGGTGCTTTGGGTCAACTTACATCAGGTGGATAGCAGTTCCTAGACAGTCTCAAGATGCTTGGGCTGCCACTTCCCAAGCGGAGCAGGAGGATGGATGTCTGAGGGCTGGAGCAAGGACCTACAGACCAATGACTTTAGTGGGCAGTTCTGGAATCTCCAGAATTATTCAATAGAAGTCCACAATCTAAAACCAAGGGCTCCAGGAACTCATTGTTTGGGACTGCTTGTATTTTCAAAGAGCTGAGCAAAGGTCAAAATGCCTGCTCCCATCTCTACCCTGCCTGCTTCAAAACAAGTCAAAGTGCAGACAGATGCTCAGTGATCCAGGGAAGGGACAGGTGCAGGATCTCAGGGCCAGAGTGGAGATCTCAGAACATCACAGAGCACAGCAGGATGGGTGTAGGTGGGGTGGGGATGACTTTTTCAGGACTCCCCCCACTCCCACCCAGGAATCCACAGTGATGAGAGCTGAACTCTGCAGCTCCTCTGTACAGAAACAGAGAACCTCAGGTATGTGTACTTTGATTTTTCTGGCTGCTTTCCTACTCCTTTGTCTTTTTACATTTTCTATTAAAACATGCCCCAGTGGGAAGATCTCCTCTAGGATCACTGTCTCTCAGGACAGTCTCAGCTCTGGTTTTGTGGACTGTCTGCCCTCTGTCTGTCCATCAGGGTTGGCTCTGGAGATGGCTGTCTCCCCTCCTGGCCAGCTGTCCCTCAGCCCTCTGGGCTCCTCCACATAGATTTTAGTCCGTTGACAACATCCCTCACATAAAGAAACCAATCTGTCCAAGGATGTCCTGTTTGGGCCACTAACACCATTTTCTGAAGTTAATGTCACAACAGTTTTCTTAAAAGCATTTGTTAAGGATGAATAAAACAAAACAAGTCAACAACAACAGAAAACTCCCAATGCAACCCTTTCTCATCTCCTCTAAAAGGCAGATCACCTATGGGACATTTTTTTTGTGTGTGAAGGGGAGTAAGAAAGCAACCAGAAAAAGCAGAAGTGACAGGATCCTTGGGAAAGTGGGCTGGTCCTCACTCCATCTCCACTGCTTGCCCTGGGCTATGCTGTTCATTCAACCTGGACTGTCCCTGAGGACCCTGGAGAAGCAGAGGGCAGCAAATACTCCAGGGCAATGACAGACAAGTTTTTTTCCCCTTCCAGAATAGCCATATCAGATTTCATCAATTCAGTTGAAGGCTCTCCTTGGGAAGCAAAAGGTGAAGTGTGTGCGTGGGCCCAGGTCACTATATTTTAAATTAACGGCCTCAGTGTGTGTAGAGGAGAAAGAGCTTACAGAACTGTGTGGCTCACCACAGGCCACTCTGAATGATTAGATTGCTTTGAATCTGAAAACAACCTTCCCTACTCCTCCCCAAAATAAAAAAGGTAATGACCTGGAGTTAGCTTCTTCCCCCATGATTCATTAGGTACATTGCACTTAATAAGGTAATTCATTCTTCTGCTGGGCAAAAACGTAACCTGGACATTCTAGGTCCTTTTGGGGAAGGACATACCAACGTTAAGCTTCCGAGGAAGTGAAGGGAAGTCAGTATACATTTCCCCACTTCACCCAGGCCACATCTGATCCAGGCTGGTCTGATGTCCTCAGCAGCAATTTTATCAGTGCACAGGCTAGAGGGCAGCTCTATAACTAATGACGATTCCATGCCTAATGAGAAACACTTTCCTCCAGACACTCAACTTTGTGTGATGCCCCCGCTGTAGTCTGTGTGTTGGGTCCCGGGGACAGAGGAGCTGCAGAAAGCTAGGGTAATGGTTGAAAGCAGGGGTTCAGCAGGGTCTGGCAGCTGCAGATGCTGGGTTTGGGGAGATGATATGCAGTGGTAGGAGTCAAGGTTGGTGGCACTGGCTAGAACTTGTTGCTTTTTCTTTTATCACCAGTGGCTTGCCTGAAGCAGACTGAGGCAGAATGCAGAGGTCTTTCATTTCAGTCAGGCTTTCTTCCACAGCTTTCACAAACTTGGGAGAAGAGGTCTCTTTGCAGTTATGGAAGCTTGAGATGCAGAAAAGGATGCTTTCAGGCTGGGGGTTGTAGCAGGCACCATACCCATCGGGCACCACGGGTCCATAGCAGCAAAACATCTCCATGGAGGTGGGCACCTGCAAGAGAGAACAGGTCAGGAGCTGCTTGTTCTGAAATGCAACCTGTGAGTCTGCCAGAATGAAGTACGTTCTGACAACCCAGGGGCCTCAATGGAGTATTTGCTTCTCTGACTATTTTGGGCTTTTGAATGAATTAACCAAATCAACTGACTGCTTCAGCATAGATGGCCATGGCCAGAGTCATTATGACAAACCCATTTAACCGCATGATAGAAAGAGAAGAGGGCCGTAAGCTATTCCCTGGTGTGAAATCTGCTCTACTTGTGGAGTCAGAAGCTCCCAAATTCACCTGCTGCTGGGTCTCAGCTGAGTCTCTTCTTCACCTGGGGGCCATTGGAGGCACCGAGGCAATCAGAGTAATTTACTAAACAGCACCCTGGTGACACTCAATGGTTCAATGTCTTCCCAGAGGGAGTAATTTATGAACTGGAGGAAATCTGGCCTGTCTCCTCTGTCAACTTTCCCCACATCCTTAATTACTGTCAGCATTGCCTGGCTGGTCTGATTTTTTTCTCCCCACAGTCTGGTCATGCACAATTACCCAGCACTGGGTTTTTTTGAAGTTTGTTATCAATCGGAATTTTAGTTATGTATCTACTATGTTTTGAATTCAGAGCATCCAGATTTTGTAATCCAGACACAAACCCAGAAAATTGTTTCTAAAGGCATTTGAGTCATAAATTGTTCATTTCCAGTTTAAACAAATAAACCACCACACTCTAATTAATTTTATTAGCTGGTGTTAAGGAGAAAATAGAACACATTTTGGGTCAGGTGCAGCGTGGGTTTGTTTTAAACCCACAGGTTTCTGGCGCTGTGTACTTGGACCTTCAGAATGACACTGGTTGTTTTAATGGGGCAGAACAAACCATTAGTCTTGCTAATAGAGTCACCTCATTGTCAGATAAATTTGCCATGCAACAGCTGAAGGCCATAAAGCCATTCCAAAGCACTTTTTGCCCATGGATGGTTTCCTGAAGAATTTATGTTGTGTTCTACCCTTGTTTAGTCACATTTGTGAGCTCACTGCAGAAATGAGAAAATCAAATTACTGAGTGGGCTTTTATCCTCATATACAACTTTATGAGCTCCTTTTATTGCCCATGCCCAGCCTTTCACAGATGAGGTAGAGTTTAGGAAACTGATGTATGGGGGGTACTTTCTTCCCTAAACTGCTGCCTTTCTCTAATGGATTTCATTCTGTCTTTGTGACAGCAGTCTTCCAACAGAACAAGCCTGTGGTGCTGGTTAGGAGATGCTGGGCTGGCAGCTAATCACTTACTGCTGGTCACTGGCCCTTTATAGTAGTGGCTGTGGCCTGCTTGGAGGGCCCTGTCCATACCAGGCATTGGACTGGGCTTTATACCTACATCATCGCATCTAGTTGAGTCAGGACTTCACTCTAGATCTGTCAGTCTTCACAGATAACATTAAAAGAGAGTAAGCATAATGGTTAGGGCACCAGGATGGGTGCTTTCCTGTACTGTCCACCTCTACTAAGATCATGTCTGTGATTACTCCCATTTAGAAGATGAAAACCAGTGCTCTGAACATTTAGGTCATTTTGCAGAAGGTTACAGAGCTCATGAGATGCCGATATAAGAGTTTCCTAAATCCAACAAGCAGGCTGTATTCACTGAGCTCTACAGAAAGCCCACTGGTTACATTAAGTGGCTTCTTGGGTGACGGCCACAGTAGGGCTGTACCTGGCTGGTGGAGAGGACAAATTGATTGCTCATCAAGTATGTTTCATCCGTGAACATCTCAGGTAGCTCCTCACACATTTCTCGGGCCAACTCCCGCAGCCCCAGCAGGTGGTTGTCAATAGCCATCCCTGTTATGGCCTAGGCAGTAGGGAACAAAGAATAGTAAATGAGATGAGGGCTCCCAATACCTCTTCCCCTCTTCTCCAGTTTACAGTGCTAATGGTGACTCCAGGGGCCACAGTTACTCAGTGCTTGCTGTGGACAGTGTGTATGGGAGGCAACCCTTTACCATGTGGCCTCTGCTCCTTAGGCCCTTGTGCATTTTTATATTCATAGGATGAGTCCAGATCTGGCTGCATTCTAGCATGAGTCCCTCCCATACTCACTGCTGTTGTGTACCATGTATGACCACTTAGTGCTCTAAGTGAAAGGAGCAGGTGGGCAGGGCCATGCACAATACGTCTTCAGTTAGTGAAGGAGTCTGGGGAGAGGGAGAAGTGCCAGGCCCAGGGACTGCCAAGCCCTATGCAAACACAGCGAGAGGTGCCCTAGGCTATCATTGGGGCAGACTCTCACCATAACCAACACTTGATCCTTCAGTGGGAGCCCTAGAAATGAGAATAGAGGGTGTTAAATCTGTTCCTGTATCTTAGTTGCTATTTCATGGACCAAGAATCAATTAAACTCAAGTGGATTCAAAATCTAAGAAACTTTTGAGACAGAAAGTAGACATCTTAGCAAAGACCCAGCTGACATTTTCAAGGGAAAAACTTGTTGAATGGAAAAAGGTTTTTTCCTTTTTATCACAAGTATTTGAGTTCTTATCAAAGGATAAGATAATCGCAATGGGTGCTCCAGAATCTCTATGTAGGAGGCACTCAGTGTGTTGGTGTGGCTGGAAGTGGGGCCATGGGCTAGGGCATGCATTCTACATCATTCCCACTTTAGGCTGCAGGTGTAGCACACAACACTGGTTTTTCTTGGATTACATGTTTATTTGGGACAATTTGTTGGGGGGGGCTGATGCAGGCATGGGGGTCACCTCTGGCCTACAGTGATAACCTCTAGGTTACCCTCAGGGCAGTTTGAGTTGCAGAGGGGCCGGGGTTCACAGTTATGTGTTGCCCATCCAGCTGTTACAGCCCCACATATAAGGAAACCTCTCATCACAGTGAACTTTGCTCAGATTTACAAAGCACATATGGAGATTTCGACAGCTATTCTCTTTCAGTTGTGAATGAATGCATAAAGATGTCTCAGAGGTCCTAGTATTTCCACATGTACCTAATTATAGGCTGAAAAGACATATTATACAACCACAGCTCATTTTATTATTATTATTTTTTGAATCCTCATCTAAAGATATTTTTAAGAAAGAGAGAGAAACATCAATGTGAGAGGAAAACATTGATTGGTTGCCTCTTATAGGTTCCCCAACCTGGGATCATACCTGCAACCCAGGTATGTGCCCTGACTGGGAATCAAACCTACAACTCTCAGTGTATGGGACGACACTCCAGCTGACTGAGCCACACCAGCCTGAGCAACCACAGCTTTCTTTATACATGCCCTGTTAGGAGAGGGGAAGAACTGAGCCCATCTGTGAAGTAGAGCGCACTTTCAATTTCTCTATTTAATTGCTGATTTCTGTAGATCTGTAGAAGAAGACAACCCACCCTTGTTTTCACCATCTCTGAACTGACATGCGGCAACTTGCATTGGTTTAACACATTGTTTGGATTAGAACCATGAGTAATAATGAGTGAAATGACTCATCATTAATCTTAATTGAATGCCTACTATGTGCCTGATGTTGCTGGGCACTGGAGTGACAACAGAGAACAAAGCAGTCTTCACCCTCATGGACTTCACCCTCATGGAGTCTTATGTGTGGTGGGAGACAGATATTAACCAACCATTCCAGCAAACTGGTGATTAAAACTGAGGTAAGTGCTATGAAGGAAATCAGAAGGTGCTGTGAAAATATGTGATGAGAGTCTGGACAACATTTGTTTCTTCACTGGAATTTCCTTTCTCCACCACCACTACCAAATATACTTGCCAGATATTTGCAGGGTTCTTGGTTCTTTCCCTTGCCCCTTACCCTGTATGGTCAACCAGGTACCAGATTTACTTATAAGGCATCTTTATAGCTCTTCTCTCCCCATCCTCTATTTTTTTAGTTGTCCCCATCAACTTAAAATAGTTAACACAAAATAATGTGTGGCAATGTTTTGGAGGATAGTTTTCTAAATGTTTTTCCTAAACATTTAATTATCATTTAATTAAAGCTATATTATTTATAATAGCTTAAAAACTGAAACAAACCAATGGCTTATGTCACTTTGCCAGCACTGATTCCCACTCCATGGAGGCAACCACTCAGAATATTTTTGACGTTTACTTTCTTAGTTCTAAATAACATGCTTTGATGGCTGTTACTGCATTTTTTGTTTTACCTATAATCTTCTTATGATAGTAGATGAACTTTGACTCTTTGGTACCCCTGCTCCTCCAATACACTTGCACTCTACTATCTTCCCAATAGTTATAATTTACCTCTTTTTTGCTTCATCAACATTCAGTGTTTACATGATAATAATTATGCAAATATTCACAAATAAGTTCTTTGTGTATTATGATTAGATTTCCTTTCTTACTAAACTTTTTTTTATTTTCCCTAGAATTGACAATTTTTAAATTATGACTTTTTCCCCCTTGCTGAGCTTTCTATAGATCTATAAATAGTTGATTCTTAAATGCTCAGCCAGAAGTATAAAACTTCCCTCAATACAATGAAATATATCTGATAATTATCAGGTTCATTTCTCCTCTCACTTCTTGCTCTTCTATAGACCTATTACTCCCTAGTTCTGCTGAACAGCTGCCAACTTGGGATCTACTTTTACTATCACCCTCTTTTTCTACTTCTTGTATTGAGTCTTCTGATTTTTTGATTCTCTGGCTTTTTTTTTCTTTTTTGTTTTATTCTTACTTTAGTGGTCTACATCCTTCAATAGCTTTACAAAGAAGAAAGCCTAATAAGTAAAAATTTTGAAATCTTATCTGTCTGAATATGCCCTTACCCTGCATGGTTAAATAAAACATCAGCAAAATGAAAAGGGAACCAACCATATGGGAAAATATATTTGCCAATGATACCTCAGGGGTTTGATCTCCAAAATATTTTAAGAACTCACATGACTCCACTCCAGGAAGACAAACAATCCAATTAAAAAATGGGCAAAGGACCTGAATAGACAATTCTCCAAGGAGGACACACAGAAGGCCCAGAGACATATGAAAGGATGCTCAGCATCTCTAGCCATCAGAGAAATGCAAATTAAAACCACCATGAGATACCACTTCACACCAGTCAGAATGGCTGTCACAAACAAATCAACAAACAACAAGTGCTGGTGAGGATGTGGAGAAAAGGAAACCCTAGAATACTGTTGGTGGAAATGCAGACTGGTGCAGACACTGTGGAAAACAGTGTGGAATTTCCCCAAAAAGATAAAAATGGAACTGCCTTTTGACCCAGAGATTCCATTGCTGGGATTATACCCTAAGAATCCCAAAACACCGATCCAAAAGAATATATGCACCCCAATGTTCACAGCAGCACAATTTGCAACAGCCAAGTGCTGGAAGCAACCTAAGTGCCCATCAATAAATGAGTGGATCAAAAAACTATGGTACATTTATACAATGGAATACTATGCAGCAGAAAGAGAAAAAGAGCTACTACCCTTCACGATGGCATGGATGGAACTGGAGAGCATTATGCTAAGTGAAATAAGCCAAGGGGTGAAAGACAAATACCATATGATCTCACCTATAAGTGGAACCTAATCAACAAAACAAACAAGCAAGGAAAATATAACTAGTAACATTGAAATAAAAAACAAACCGACAGTAACAAGGGGGAAGGAGGGAGAGGCTAATGGGGAAAAGAAGGGGAAGGGTCGATTCAAGGAACATGTATAAAGGACCCATGGACAAAGCCAAAGTGGGGAAGGATTGAGGGTGGGAGGTGGGGGTGGGTGGGGCAGGGGAAAGTGGTGGCAGGAAAATGGAGACAAATGTATTAGAACAATAAAAATAAAAACAAAAAAAAGAACGTACCCTTATTCTGTCCTCAAACTTGATGATAGTTTAGTTGGGCATGGAATATGTGTTAAAAATTATATATCCCTCAGAATTTGAAAGTGTTGCCCTACTATCTTCCATCTTTCAGTGATGCCATTGAGAAGTCCAATTACATATCCATCATATTTTCCCCCAGGGTTATTTTTATTTATTGAAAAAGAAATAAAATATTATTTTTATTTATGAATTCAATAACATCCCTTGTCTTTCAGAGGATTTCATTTATAGTTTTAACAAGTCCTTCTGTTTCCTGCGTTGTTTTCATTCCCTTTAGCTTTCTTTTATTTTAAAAATTAAACAAAATTATTTGTTTGTACTCTTTTTAATCTTTTATGTTAGCAGCTCTCCTCAATGTCTGATGATTTATGGCCACCTGTTTATATTTAAGAATAAATCACTGATGAGTAGAAGAATGAGAATGTACTTGTCAACTGGAGGATTTCACTGTGAAGTGAACTGGCTAGGTTTTTTCATTAGGGACCCTCACTGTCAGTGTCTGTGGCTTTGCTCTCCTGACCAGGTCAGTTTTACCACATAGAAATCCTTTAATCTCCTGCTTGCAGAGAGGTGGTAATAAAGGTGTTTAGCTGCATACCTGGAGCTGAGTGGCTGGAGGGTTTACCATTAAGTAAGCCAGCTTTGATTAATCTTCTCTTTTGGAGAAAATATCCACTCCCTCAGCTGTATCTGGTGTCTCCAAGTCTAGAGTCCTTCTTCAACCTCTCCAGAAGATCAGCTTCTAGTCCACCTTTGGGGAAGGGGAAGATACTAGCCTGGCTGCACTGGGGTAGTGGAGAGGAACTGGAAGTCTGTTTCTTATATAAATCATCAACCAATCATCTTCAGCCCCACATGCACCCCTACTTTTGGTGGAAACCCCCAATGTCTGACGTCCTGCAATGTAGTTCATTAGGCTCCTGAGCCTCCCTCATTATTTGCTTGGGTTTCAGCTTCCTCTGGTCTGCTAAATTAGTTGTCACCTGTTTTACTTTTCAGCTCTGAAACTTATCTGTCACTTCTTTTCTATTCTCTTTTTCCTAATGTATTTGTGGCTTAAAAATCCCTTTGCTGCCCCGGCCAGTGTGGCTCAGCTGGTTGGAGTGTCATCCCATAACCAAAAGGCTAAGGGTTCAATCTCCGGTCCAGGTGAGTACAATCCCCAGTCCAGGCACATATGGGGGGCAACGAATTGATGCTTATCTCTTTCATAAATATTTCTCTCTCTTCCTCCTTTTCTCTCTAAAAGCAATAAAAAATGTCCTCAGGTGAGGATTAAAATCTTCTGAAATTCCTTTGCTGATATTTTTGATGGTTTTAGGGGGAGTGACAGTTAACCCTTGTGTTCAATTCACCATATTTAATCAAGAGTTTGTACTTCCTCATTTACACAATGGAATACTATGCAGGAGAAAGAAAAAAAGAAGTACTAAACTTCGCGACAGCATGGATGGAACTAGAGAGCATTATGCTAAGCAAAATAAGCCAGGGGGGCGAAAGACAAATACCATATGATCTCACCTATAAGTGGAACCTCACCAACAATACAGAGATGCAAGGAAAATAAGACCAACAACACTGAAAGGAAAAGAAACCAACAGAGACAAGAGGGAAGGAGGGAGGGGGGCGGAGGAAATGAAAGGGAAGGGGAAAGTCAAGGAACATATAGCAAGGTCTCATGGACAAAACCAAAGGGGAAGAGTTGAGGGAGGGAGGGAGAGGGCAAAGGAAAGTGGTGGGGGGTAGGCAGAGACAAATGTATTTGAAAAAATAAATTAATTAATTAAAATAAAAAAGACACGTTAAAAAAAGTTTGTACTTCCTCTTCAGCCCCCATCCCTGCTCTACTTCAGTCCTTATATCAGCTTTTTTAAAATATATATAGGTCCTTATACATAATCAGCATTGCTACCCCTTGGCACCCAATGTTCCAATCAGGTCCTCATCCTACCTGGTCATCAGAGTAGCTTTGTAACAGGAAAATCCAACATAATGAGCTATCTTGCTTCTCTGTTCTTTATACATACTGAACTACTTGCTTTTCCTTCAATGTGCATTATTCTCTCAAGACTTCGCCTTTGCACATGCTGTTGCCTCCTGGGTCCATCCTTTCTTTCTATGTCTGTTATAAGTACTTCCTCATCTTTCATGTCTCATTAAGCACCATTTCCTCTATGAAGTCTTGGCTTTCCCAAGCAGAAGAATGAGCTAGTTCCTCCATGCTCTCTGCTACTTCTTGTGGGGTCCTTTCACATAGGATTGGATCTATCATTTAAGGGCCTCTTCTACTAATTGCACAGTAAACTCCCAATGTCAGGCTTATAAACTACTTTTTTTATTTTATAACACTCAGCACTATATAAAGGCATAAAACAGAAAACCAAAAAATAGCCATTGGAAACATGAGAGTGAGTTTGATTTTCTACAAACAGAACACTCTACTCTTTGGAATTAGAGACCTATATTGGAGAATATAGTGAATTAGGGGAAAGTCTACATTGACTAGTTTTAAAATCCAGATATGAATTGTACTTGCTTTCAACTACATTGAGTGAAATCTGGTGAACTCCTTTTTAAAGACTGTATCAGAATGACTTGCAATTAACATATTGATCACCTGTCCCAGAAATAGCTTATTCTCTGTTTTCTATATGCTGGCTTGCAGTGCTAGAAAGTAAATTATTTCTCTAAACTAGGGAAATATTTTCCTTACAATTTTGATGTCTCTATTAATTTTCAGAAAAGACCTTTTATTTATAAGCAGTATAAATAAAAATATGAAGAATAAGAAAGCAAAATCACTGCTTCACTTGTGATTGTGCAAGGTGTAGAAACCACTGCAGTTTGCCAGACCCAGGTGCAAACTCCTCACATTTGACTTCTCTTGTAATATAAAGAATAAATTGCTGTACATATTTCATACTAATATTATTGTTGTTTCAAAGACCATTCATGGTATTCTTGTAAAATCCATGTAGAAAACAGGAGAGGTGCGTTATCTAGGTTCTAAAAACAAGAAGGAGACTCTGAGAGGCAGGGTGATCTTGCCAACTGACTGGGCAATTGGTGGCTCAGCTCTCACCCAGCTTGGGTGGTGGCCCTGCTCTGGTGGTTCCAGCTCTGGCACAGCCCACAGTCATAAGGTCAAGCAAGGAGGTGCCTTATCACTCACCATGACTGTGTACTCAGTCTGGGCTCGGATGGCATCCTTCAGAAGCAGCAGTTTCTCTGAATCCTGGAAACAGATCATATACAAATATGGAGTTTAAGAGGCTGCTCAGTGACAAAAAGGTCAAAGGAGGTAATTGTCATAGATTTGAGCAGACAGGTAGCCTCCTTGAGACTTCTCAGATGGAGCAGACCTTACCGGCAGAGCAGCCTTGTGGTCAGTGATAGCTTTCACAAAGCTCAGTGCCTCTGGAGTGGCTGATCGAATGTTGTCCACCCGTCCCTCCTGGAACCGGCGAATAGATGCGCTCTCATAGGTGGGTGCGAGTCTGCGATGGAGCCTGCATAAGTGAGAGGTGAATGGCAAATGGTGATGCATTCTCAGGCATTCAGAAATGCTGAGAGAATGATAGTCCAGCTGGCTTTATTTTACAGTCCTGACTTGGCATAATATTTCACTTTAACCTTGATTAATTTTAGAGGCAATTTCCCATAGATGAATTTTGTAAGAGTCTAATATGAAGAGCTATGTACATTTCCATACATTGGTGATACTGCACAGATATAAAATAAAGAAGTGACTGGTAGCTTTAAAAAAAAATCCCAATCTGGCGAGAAACCTAGAAATTTCTACAAGACCTGATGACTGTTTGATTAATGGTACAGAATGGAATAATTGTGTAATTAATCATTCACACTCTTGAGAGAATCCTGTTTTATTTAAAACAATTCAAGCACGAACTATGGATGGAGGGAGGGAAGGGCCTCAGTGGTCGCTGGAGTAAGGTGTTGCAATGTGTAGGGGCAGCTGGGCTTCTAACAGACCCATGGGCAGTATGGCTGTGTCTCTCATCCTTAAGGCCTATGATGGGAGCCGTTGCAGCCACTGCCCACAATAGCCAGAGAAAGTCTCTTCCTTAGGCATGTGAACCAAGTGAGCACCCCTAGGCTTGTGTGCTTGGCTGGCACACACCTTTGTTTACAAGTCAGTAAAGTCCTTGATGTTGGGGTTGAAAGAAGGGAAAGACACAGAACTCAGAGAAGAGCAGTGACAATACCAAGTCACACAGTAAGTCACAGCTTCCTCAGGGCATGTCTGTGCTACACTGGGTTAACTCCAGGAGGGTGGAAGGCCAAGTCCAATTCAGCACAGTGCTTGTTTCTGTATTGCTTGGTGAGCAAGTGAATAAACTTTTATTACACCTATATCTAATTTTTCCAAGACACTGGCAGGGAACTCATTTCCCATATCTCTATGGCCACTGGAGGCAAATGCTCTACCAAGCATTAAAATAGATGCCATCACTGGCTGGAAACTGATCAACCCCAATTGAGGCAGCTTCCAGGGTTTTGCTGAATCTAGAAGAAGCTTTTATTTTAAATATATTAAAGCTTATACTGTGAAGAATGTTCTCCATGGGAAGCAGATCATGTTTTAGCTTTTCAATGAGTCCTGGGATCATCTGGTCATGTCCAGTGACAGCAAAGATCACATTAGGAGGGGGTGCTCTGTGTAGGCTCCTCTTGGCTTTGGATCTGAAGATCTGAAGTACTCATTCAGTGAAGTCCCTAGTCATGGCTCGAGCAGGAACCTGACCTCATGGCCCATTTCAGCCAGTTGATATCTGAGCATCAGAATAGCACTGACTGCAATTCCAGACATCAGGTCCTGCCACAGTTCTGTGCTGGCAAGGCCTCTGTGTCCCAGTGATGAAGGCGACATCAGGCTTTACCAATGAGTAGTAAGAAGACAGATGCTCAGAGTGGCTGCTCCCTTTCCCATGAGTTACAGCCCCATGTGGGACACTAGGATCAGGATGCTGTGTCAACAGGGGTGCTGCCTGCTTATTAGTAAGCGTTCCTTGCTCCAGCTTTAGACAAGGTCACTTCCTGTTTCCCTGGGTGTTACAAACTGAACACAGATCTGGTGGAACAACTGCTCTTTGCTAGCAATGCCAGTTTATGAACAGTTGCATCTGGAATACTGGAGCCAACTGAAGTCAGCCGTATCTTGAGGAAGATTTGCTTTGCATGTTAGTTTTAGCATTCTATAAAAGGTGAGTCAGGTGCTCTACTCTGCCTTCAACCATTACTACCTACAACTATAGAGATTTTTCTAAATCACAGACTTGACTGTGTCATGTATAGCTAACACTCCTGTAGTGTCTTCTCATGTTTGACTCAGTACCTGATGCCTGCTCTGTGCCAGGAGTGCAAGGTACCCAGAATGTCATGCTTAGGAGAGACAGCTTAGAAAACAAAGTTGACAAATCAACGAACAAGGTAGTTCACATGAAAGACAATTGTCATGAAAGAAAAAGATAACTGAATTGGTATGATAGAGAACTGGGTGGCAAGGAGGCCTGAGGTGGATACTTTAGATAAGAGGGTCATGAAGGGCCTCTAAAGGCTGACACCTGAGTAGTGGGAAGGAGCTGGCAGGCGAAGAGTGATGGTGACATGTGACTAGGCAGAGATACAGCCAGAGCAAAGGTCTAGCAGCGGGGAAGAGCTTTGGGGAGGAACCCAGGTAAGGCCAGGGAACTTTTGTAAGCTTGGACTTTGTTCTAAGCATAGTGGGAAGCCATTAGGAGGGTTCAAGGAGGTAAATGATAGTTTCTGATTTTCATATTTCCAAGTTCATGCTTTATGAAGATAGGATATAGTGGGTAAGATTGGAGGCAGAGATCCCCAGGGAGCACACTGCAGTTGACTGAGCATGAGATGACAGGGGCTTGGGAAGGCCCAACAGTGGTGGAGGTAGAAATGGAGGTGAAGGGCAAAGAGACACTTGGGAAACAACTAACATGGTAGGGGATGAGAGACAAATCAAGGAGGAGTCCAAAATCTTTGACTCGACCCACTGAAGGATGATAGTTCTACTTTATTATTGCAACCAGAATAATGGGAGGTTATGTCACAGCTCCAGAGGCCCAGGGGGACTGGAAGGGATATGGAGGAGGAGCATCTTCACAGTCCAATGTCCCTATTACCTGTTTGGCCTTGGTTAGCTTCCTTCCTGCCATTTGTGCTCTGCATCCCTGGGTCATCACTCAGGTAAGTGACTGACTATGACATTGTTCATTCTCTTTTCTGAGAAAGTTTCATACCTTGAAACCCAGTTAGGTGGCACCTTTACCAAGCAGTCTGCCCTGGTCATCCTCCTGTTCTCTAAACCCACAGAAAGTCTTTCTCCCTCCAGGGTACTTCTAGACTCTAGAGTCTAGAGAAGCTTGTCAATCAGCCCTTCTGGGCAGGTTTTGCTCACCTGTAGAAGGCCAGTTGGAGAGCCACCTGAATGAAGGCATCGGGGCTGCATTTCTGCTTCTTAATGAATGTCTTCCCATAATTGTCAAACTTATAAACAATGAAGTCGAGATTTTTTACTATTCTGTGGGGGGAAAAATGCTTTTATTTCATGAAAAATAGAATGCACACATCAAAGAATCTAAACAAGTTTTTTGAGCCTAGTCTATGTACTAGCACTCCAGAAGTTCAGGACACAGTCCCTGCCCTCCAGGAATGGATCAGTATGTCAGAGACGGTCCTTGGCATATTCAAATGGCAGAGGGTGTGCTGGACCAAGCTTTCTCTGAGCTGAAGATGAGGTGTGGCTGGACAAGATGGTGGCTCAGCTCTGGCTCAGCTCTGGGACTGGAGGGAGATGGGCTTGACTGCAGGGAGGGACATGGAGGCAGAACAGATATTTGCATGAGAAGGAGAACAGTGCTAACAAACACAGTCATAAAATCCCTCTGCTCACAGAAGTGAGCCTGAGAGAGATCACTTGTTTGACCGGTTTGGGAAGATATGTCCAGCATCTTTGTGTGTTCTTTTGGCATTCTGGCCATCCTGCCAGATCCACAGACCCTCTCTGTCCGGGGCAAAGCCCACTTCTCAGATGGCTGGAAATAGCTTCTCCTCACTGAGACTCATCCCTGTTGTGCTTTGGAAAGAAAGACCTGGAACCTGACTGCTCTGCACAGTCACCACAGTAAAGACTGCTTGCCAGTGACTAAAAGTCCATTTTACCCAGACACTGATGTTGTGGCTGCCGTGACATGCCCAGATATTTGCTGCCCAGGAGTCATTGTAAGAATAGCAGGAAGAGTCCCTGAGTCTACACTGAGACCCTTGAGCACCCCAATAATGACCAATCTCCTCCTTCATAATGAGCTTGGGGTCTGGGCTGACTGCCCCCTGCAGCAATGTCCAGTCAGGTCCACACCATCTGCCTACCAGCCATGTGTAAAAGCAGAGCCTTGGGGGAGAAACCTGGGCCTCCACTCACTCACCTGCTCCCTCAGGACCTGACACTCCCTGCCTGCCCCTCCTTGAATTATTTCTCCTGCCTCAGAGAACCTCAGCTCTCAATGTGGCCATGCCAGGCTCTGGGGACTCAGCAGAACTCAGAGAATCAGTTCCCATGGGAACTCAACCCTCAGTCTGACCTGTTGACTCATTGTCTCCACACAAGCTGAGCTCAGAATCAAGACAGGCCCTTGGAAACCTTTCGCTCAAGCTCTGCCCACTTGGACCCCACACTTTCCCTCTTCTCCATCTTCCAGAAAGAGGAGCTGTGGGCCTCAGGATCAAGTGAGACCTGCTCAAACCCCTAAAAGTGTGCAGGATCCTTCTTCTTCCCAGGGCTCAGCAACTAACTCACCTTCCTAGTAGCTTGCTTATCCCAAAACAGCTGTGTATGGTTGAGATATGAGCACCACCTTATTGAGGAACACCCAAGGCCACTCTTCCATGAAAGCCAGTCAGTCTTCATAGCAGCTTGCAGGGGACTTGTCCTCTGCACCCTTAGCCTCCAAGCCAGCCACACTCTATCCAGCTCACCTACCCTATTCCCAGAGTCTGCTGGCTGGCTCCCCGAAACCCCCTGTACAAAATCCTCCAGGGCTTCTCACAGCTTCCAGGCCCTGTGACATGAGGAGCATGAAACTCTTCATAATGAGGCTCCAGCTTCTCTTTAGTGTCCCTAACTCTGGCCATTCTCTCACTTGTTATTCTCTGAAGTAGTCTGGATCTTTATCAACCCCAACCCCCTTCCGCCAGCTGCCTGCAACACAAACTCCTCTCCATCTCTCAAGGCCCATCTTTGTAAAGTCCCCCTCAATGTCCTGGCAGAATTCAGCTCTTGTGTCCTCTGTGGGTTCATATCTGTATGCCTTTGTTTGGTTTTTGGCACTTACTACATCACACATTTTTTCTTTGGGGATTTGCTTCCTCCACTAAAGTTTGGAGGGCAGGTCTCACAGAACATTCATTTCTGTGTCCTCAGAGCTTTACCACAGGCCTGGCACAAACTAGAGCTCTGCACATATTGGTTGAATGAATGAATGAATGAATGAATGAATGAATGAATACACTCATGTTCACTTACTGAATGAGAGAATGAACAACCAAGGTCCAGATTCAGTTGTCAGCCCTTGGCTCTCCTCACACCTCGCCACTGCCAGTACTGTGCTCCCCAAGAGGGGCCCACACTCATCCCTGGCCCCCCTGCCTGGGTCCTATTAGGGGTCTTTGCTCCCCTGCCTGGGTACCTTTAGGGCCTGAACTGCCCTTGGGAATAAAACCCTCCTTGTCAAGGTGCAGTGAAAATTCAAGCAAATTGAAATAGCTTGGATTCAAATGACCTATTCAAACCAGTTGTTTATTACTCCCCCCAAACAGAATGATTTCCCCATCTTGACTGTGCTCAGTCAAGTGAAACCCTTGAAAAAAAAAACTGCTCCATGTTTGCATTTTATGGAAATGATGGATCCTTTGGCAAGCTTATTTCCCCTAGAGTTATAACTCCCCTTTAGTTTGACTACATTTTCATGAGGGGATGGGGAGCAGAGGAGCTGGGGTCCCTGAAACTTATCAGGGACTCTTGGCAGCCAATGTGGGAAGGACATTGGTGACCCCCAGAGCATCACTCCAAAGAAGGCTGGAGCTTTTCCTTACCGTTGAAGTTTTTCTGCTGAGGAGGCTAAGAAACCTTGAATTACCGGGGAGCATTTCCACCTCAGCCTCCTGGGAGCTGGCAGCTCAGTGACAGAGTCAGCTCGGACTAGCTTCTTGCTGTTCCTCATCCTGCAGGCACAGAGAAGTGACCTCCTCAGCCCTGAGAGCTGAGGGCTGCAGGCAGCATTTTTCTTTGCCCTCTGCAGTCATCTCAGCTATTTGAAGTTCAGAGGATATAAGGTGCCCCCGAAGCACTGTACTAACGAACAGAGTGAAGCTCAGAGAGCCCACACAGATTAGCAGGTGGCAGAGCCAGGATTCTATCCAGTTCTATCTGACTGCAAAGCCAGTTGTTGTTGTTTTTTTTTAACATTTTCCTGTTCTACTATATTATACCATAACAACTATAAAACATTTGGAGATAAATTGAAGCAAATTATGTCATTCTGTTTGCTAAGGTTGGTCTGGGTTTTCAGAGATCCTAAAGAGTTCCTAAACCGTGGAAGAGGTTTAGAACATAAAATCAGGGAGAAGATTCTAAAAAAAAGAGAATAAGGGAAGTGGTAAATGGAGGAAGGAACCTAGTGTGTTAAAAGTCAGAGAAGCCCTTAGTCGGCCAGTTTGGAAGCTAAGGAGAGAGATGCAGCCTGAGAAGATAGAGAGAGCTGCAGCTCAGAAACCTTCTGTCTGTGCTGGATCATCAGTTAGCCGATCCTGGACTTGGGGACAAACCATAGGGATTGATCAGAGCTTCCCTGGTCAAAGCAGATGCTCCTTCTTAGCTAGAAATTCTTTGCCATGCTTCTGCCTAACTGCCTGGATGGTCCCTTCTGTCCATGGCTGATAAAATGTATAATGTGTCATTCAAGCTAGTTTGCAAACTCATTTTTTGCTAAGACACTTTCCAGACTAACACGAGCCCCATGTAGCCACCCCAGTTTTTCTTGGCCTAGCTAAGCAGTCCAGTTTTGACAGCATGGCTACTCTGGAAGGGTCCTCCCTCCAGACTCACATGTGCTTGAGCAGATGTTCCACGCACTGCACCAGGACGATGCCATCAAATGGGGAGTGCTCACACACCACACCGCAGGTGCCATCCCGGCCCACCACAAACTGTAATAAAGAAGAGAGAGGTGAGCACACCTCTGGTAGAGTCAGCATTTCAAACCTGCCCCTAAGCTCCAGGCCAGGTGCCCCTGGCCTCTCAAGGGGCTCCCTCCTCAGGGACATTAAAGCACATTACCTTCTGAAAAGAACACTTCATGCAGTTGCCAGGGCCAGAGAATGCGGGAGTCTCAAACAGCACTAAACTGTGCAACCTCCTTACCAGAAATGCTCTGCGCAGTGAAAGTGCAGCATGTTCACTGGCTGAAGTATCCCAGCAATTCCTGAAAGGCTGTGCACACTCTCTGTAGGTCATGGGCAAGCTCCTTCAGCTTCTGTTAGGCCTGTTTCCCCTTTACAGTAAGTGTCAGGACCACACCTTCTACTGCACCGTGTCATGATGTGCCTGATGGCCGATGTGTGTTTGGGCAACAATGATTTTATTCCCAGCACCTATAGCAGTGTTCACTCCACAGTAGGTGCTCAATAATTTTGTTGTATGACTGAATGAAAGATAACAATCTAATTTGGACAACGCACAGATTCCTAGTGAGAAATAAAATATCCCTTCATGGGAGTGAGGAAAAGTATGCTGAGGGTGCCCCATCAACTGCTGCCTGGGCTTTCTGTCTGGGACCCAGATTTCAGTTCTGTTGTAGTTGCCAGCCAGCTGGCAGAACTTCAGCGAGACAATTCAGCTCTCTGACTTCAGTCTGCTCTCATTTAACTTGGATCGAGTTAGGCTGGTCCACAGAATTGATATGAGGATTATAGAGAAGATATATGAAAGGACCATGGGAACTGTAAAGATTACATATGTTTTTTTTCATGACAAAGGTTGTATTTAGCTGACTTGGAAAAGGGACATAGTCAATGCACAAAAGTACTGGGAGAAAATAAGAATGAGATTTGATTCTTAAAGCACAATCCAAATAAAGTAGGGCTGCCTTGTAGCTTGTCTAGTGCAGCATCACACTCAGGGGGCATCTGCCTAACATCCATAATCAACAAGCAAACAAGCAAGCTATTGAAGGCTGTACAGCACACAGTGGAGCTGACTATCTCCAGGTCTCCCTCAATCTCTCACATAGTTGTCCTCTGCTCAAATCTTTGCTCTCACTCTTCAAACTTCCCATAGAGTTTCTTTCAAAACCCATCCCTGCAGGCTCATTTCTCTCTTCCCCGATGTCCCCTGCCTTCTGTCCTGTGAAAGCTCTCAGTCCTTTCAATTCCTGTTCATGAAGCCAGTTGGGCTTCTCCAACTCACCTGATAATCTGTCCTACCTTTGAAAAAAACCCAGAGGTGGGTATGAGTACCCACGTGAGGCAGGGAGGGGAGGATTGTGCCCACTCACATATTAGTGCTTTTCTGCCACTGTCACTAAAAGAAAGAGAGGCAAACAGTCTCTTTTGAAAGCTGTTAACCAAGCCTCACTATATTTCAGGTCCTGTACATCCATTACATCATTTCCCTCCCACAGCTGCTCTGTGAAAGGCTACAAGCCATTAGCACTGTTGGTGAAGGCTGAAACAGCCAGTGCAGTAGCAACAGGACTCATCAGAAAGAGCAGAATCAATATGCACACCAATAAAAAGGGTAACCTGCAGAATGCAGGGGACAGCGAAAGAGAAAAATAAGCCTAGAAATGCCCACTATGTGTGAGCAATGCTAACCAAAAGCATAGAGATTGCTGGCTGCTATTTAATAAAGTCATTGTGAAAGTGTGGTGGCTTAGAAATGAACAAGAATCGATTTAGGATTGGCATGCTGGGGAAAAACAATGTAAGAACAGGAATGAATGGTCCCACCCCTCAACCTCATCGCCATTTGCGTGAGTGTTTTCCTCCAGGCCAAAGTGACTGTCTTGTTTCTTGGCTAATGTCATAGGAATGAAAAAAAACAAAAACAAAAACAAAAAACCCCAATTGCTTCATTTCATTTTATGACTTTTTCTGTGTAGACACTGAGATGCCCTATTTCTCAGGGAAGGAGGAAAGTGTGTCAAAATGGCCAGGCCAAGGTGACATAAATTCAGAAAAGCTGACATCCCTGGGAATCAGATATGATTCTTGCTGAATGTGTTGAAGATTTGTTCAGTGGGAGGAGCACCTGGCATGCCCCCACCTTACAGTGTGTGATGGGAGATGAAGAGTGAGCCAGGTCTGACCCAGAGGGCCCTCAGCCTGGCAGAGGCTGCAAGAAAGTTAGGGAGCTTGAGTGGGGTTTGGTCCCTTGCTCTTTACTGAAGAAGGCCTTTCTCCTGGCCAGTCTACCGATGACACCAGTGACACATCTCCAACTCCTTTAGCTCTCTTGGCTCTACATGCAGCATCCTTGGCAGCAGAGGCTGGTGAGTGAGTCTGCTGGCTGTGAGCAGAGCTGGCACGGGCCACTGGCCATGCCTCAGGGGAGGCTTACCTGCAGGGACTTGTCATACCAGCGGTTCGCCCCATTCTTGCTGCAGCCTCCGCCATGAAGGAGCTGGAGTGCCCTGTTGGTGTCACTGAGCTCCAGGCCTCCTGGGGCATCCAGACACACCAGACAGATGCAGCGCTCGATCATGTCCAGCGAATCCCGATTGGTGGAGTCTGCAGGGCAGGCAAGCAAGGCTTTATCCCCTGTCCCACTTGGGGCCTGGGGTCCCCTCTGCAAAGCCTCACATGCCACAGGCAGACACACATGGACTCCCAGATATGGATCCAGTTCTGACCCTTCCCCTATCCCAGTCAGTGGTCTGGAAAGTTAGCCAGATTGTCTTAGGTTTCTATACTAACCTCAGGGCCCAGCTCAGCCTCAGAGTCCCTCCAACTGTGATCAGTTCTGGTTCCAGCAATGTGGTCACTGGCCGTGCCTACCAGGATGAGAAGAGCTGGTACAGGGCCTTCTCCATGGAAATTAAACACTACGCCGAGGGAGAAGCTCCACTTTTCCCTCAACAGTATCCTGCACTATGGCACCAGAAAGTCACATCGGGCACGTAGCCATATTTATTTGTCCTGGACTATGATTTTCAAACATTAGTTTCCAGAATTTTAAAGTTAGTCGATTACACATTAAAATCTTTAGTAGGAGAATGAGGGTGCTGCACTGCCTGTCCCCGGCCACCTCAGCTATTATGTCAATGCAGGGGCAGATGGAGGGGCCAAGCTGCCCTAAATCTATAACCAGATGAGCCACTGGTGCTGTTTCATGCCCATGGAACTCATCAGGACAAATAGGTTAAAAGCCACTGAGTTGTGTAGGAGACAGGTTGTCAAGGGGGCTTAAATCCTCCACAGGGACATTGGACTTGGGGTTCCTCCTGGAATAGAACTAGGCCAGCCAGATGGGCTACCGGTAGCTTCCTCAGGCAAGCACAGGAAGGTTCACAAAGCCTGGCCAGTGGGACTGTGGCTGGTGCTGCTGCGCGTTCCTTCCCCAAGTCAGGAGTCCTCATGGTGGTGATTATATTCCTTCTCCATCATCCCATACAGAATGTGGCATCAGGACCTAATGGGTAGGCTGCACATTGCCCAGAGATCCAGATTTCTGGGCTGGATGCTCTAACAGGATGAGGGTTACTGTCACCATCCACAAGTCTCAGGATATTATTTGCATGGAAAGGTGGAGTGTGTGGTGTTTGGAAGCAGAGGGGTGTTGTGTCAGAGACTGCTAGTTGTGTATCACAGTATTCGTTCTCTTTAGCCACAGAACACCTGGTTTTTAGCTGGGCCCAGGGACAAGCAGAAATAAAGCTACTTTGCCCAGCCTCCCTTACAACCAGGGGTAATCATGTGTCTAAATTCTACCAACAAGATCTAGAAACACTATATGACAGCTTCCAAACAATCTCCTTAAAGATAGCTAGAATGTGCTCTTTGTCCTACTTCCTGCCTTTCTCTATCCTGCTGCCTGGAACACAGATATAATAACTGGAGTTCTAGCCTGCATTTGGGACCATGAGGATGAGGGCCACACTTTGTAGTGAGATGGAAGAACCCTAGCCACCCTGTATCAACTCTGTCTTACTTACAGTATACATGAAAGAGAGAAAAACCTCTGTGTTTTTAAAAATACTATTATTTTGGGTTTTCTGTCACATGTGGCCATAATTAATCCTAACTTATACTGTCTGGTGATATTGGGTTCACATTTGTACATTGCAGGAATTAGCTGGAGCTGAGAGGCTATGCCTTGGTTTTCCATAGTCCTCTCTCATTTATTTAGCACTTTGATTTCTTCAGGTATGTAAGTTCAAGGTCCTTGCTCAGAAGGCTATTCTCTTTGTTGAATATGGGGGCAGGGCAGGGGGTCCCTTCAAGATGACAACCAAGTCCCTCCTTTCTCCCTCTTGTCTCAGCATCAAGAGGGGGGCGCTTGTCCTGAGTGCTGACCCTTCTATTTCCTGTAGCCAGCTCTGTGCCTCTTGATTCTGAGGTAAACACACACAGCCATATGCACCTCTCAGCATCTGCCTCTTCGTTTTCCCACTGGGATCCCAGTAACTGCTGAGTCAGGACTCTCCCTTTCAGAGCCTCTGGATCTGGAGGCTTCTCTTCTTTCAGTGCCTCAAGCTGAGAGTTAAGCCCATCGTCTCTCACTGGCATCTGGAATCTGCCTTCCTGAAGTCCAGGGAATGTGTGGGAGCAGGTGCAGCTTTTACTTGCTTCCACTCTCAAGCCCAAGCACAGCCTCTATTTACCAGCTGGGTCCAGCCTGTGGGTGGGAGCCAAGCATAGCAGCACCTTCCTCAGGAAGTGGGAGTCTGAGCACATACAAGGCCAATGATGCCAGTGTGGGACCATACCAGGAATGTTCCTGTCCTTTCTTCTGTCCAGCTGGGACATGGAGTGGTCAGAGATTGGTCTTGTCTGCTCCTCCCTACTCTTGGCCTTGCCCTGGCCTCTCTGGGCTGCTACCCTACTCAGGCATGTGGCAAGTTACCCTTGCTGGTGTTGTCAGCCTTGAGTAAGACAATCCCTAAGGACTCTTCTTGGGTCTCCTCAACACGTGCTGGGTACACAGATGCTAAGGTTACCCACGCTGTTCCCTATTCTGCCCAGGTGATTCCTCCACATTCATGAGAAGTTTCCACATGTCTTCATGTGAAAGGAGTTTCCAGTCCCCACCCATTCCCTTCCGCCTACTTTATGAAAATTCTGGGGGAAGGAACCATCACTCAGAGCAGACCTTCTACTCTGGGAAGGAAGGTGTCCAGCAAGCCAGCCCATTCTCTGTAATCCAGTTCCACTTCCTGTCTGGGATAATGAGGGTTCAGGAAAGAACAGGCATCCTGTTCTTTCAGGATGCTTCTTAATCCCTATGGGGCTAGAATGACTCATCACCTTCCACTTGACCTTCTGGGCTCTCCTGCCTCAATCTGCTGAACTTCAAAGCTCTGAACCCTGCCCTGAGGAGCTAAAGATAAATCAAATGTCATAGTGGCCTGCCCCTCCTCCTGTTTCTTAAGTGTGATTCAGTCACCATGTTACCCCTCCAACCTGAAACAGCTCCTCATGCCCACCACGTAGAATCCAAACTTGTAAATACAGCTCCTGGGCTACAGAGCTAGCCTCTGCTGCCCCTTATGGCTCAACTCCCTTGACTCTTTGCATAGACTTCACTTCAGTCTCATGCCACTACCTGGATATCTGTGCACCATCGTGCAGTATGGGGTCCATTCTCCTACTCTGCCTATCAAAACACTTCTTATAGACTTTCCAAGCTCACTAAACCTCTAGGAGTGCTTGTCCTGTGCCCAAGATTAGTGGGAATAGCCAAGGCAGAGTTCCTGCTCTCCAGGACTCCTCACACTTGGAGCTGCCTGCTCTGTGCAGATGAGAAACCTCTGCTCTGTCCACCAGGTCAGCCTCAATAGCATCTGAGTCAGGGCTGGCCAATTCCCTCTATACTAACCATCTCCCACCACATAGCTCATGACCCTATAGCACATGAACCAGACTCCCATTCTTCAAGCAGTTACAGAGAGTTCAGCCCCAGAAGCACTGTTCTAGTCCCCTTTCCCTAGCCGTGAGCTTACAGAGGGTGGGACCTGGGTCCCCAGCTCAAGCAGGCAATGTCCATGGCTGACAAGGGATTAGAGAGTGCATGGACAGGTAAAGTTGACATCTGTGTGCATCGCACAGAGGAGCCCAGAGGAACCCAGGTGGCCAACAGAAAAAAAGTCCATGGCTCCCGGAGGGTCAGAAAACCAAAACTTTGGGGAGCCTGAAGCTTCATGGTGGGGGTGATGGATGGGGAAGAGATGGAGAGGGATTTGCAAGGCTCCAAGCTCTACCTGTCTCTGCTCCAGTAGGAGTCCTGGCCATGACCATGGTGCCTGGCCTTGTACAGTGTGCTGTTCTGGGGGTTTCTTTGGGCTCCTAGGCTGGCTAATGACTTCAGACTATGGGGAGGCCTTAGTTAGGCCTGGGGAAGATTTAAACAGGCAGAAAGGAATAGAGAAGCATATTAGGAAGGATATAACAGTGAGGAAAAGGCTCTGAGGGCTAGGAGGTAGACATCCAGACTTTGTGGGTAAAGGCATGCAAGATTTAAGAGACTTTGGAAAGACACAAAACAGGGATGATGTTAGCTAACATTTTTGAGCACCTACTATGTGTCAGACATCAATCTAAGCACTCATACAGGTAACTACTGGATAGGCACTATTATCATCCTTACTCACAGGTGAGAAACAGAGGAAGTACATGTCTTACCTAAAGTCACCAGTAAATAGAGGGAGTTGAACTTGATCCAAACCTAATGCCAAGGCTGGGAGCAGATCATCAAGGACTGAATAACAGTATTGGGAATAGGGACTTCATCCAGCAACAGCAGGGAGCCACTGAAGGCCTTAGTTAGGCCTTAGAGGTTGATGTGATAAGAGAGGCTAGGTTGCCTAGGAGCTTGGGAAGGTCAAGAGCCTAGAAGCTAGACAAGAGGCTATGAGAAGCTCCAGTGCTGCCCACCTTGGCCCTGTTGGCCATGTCTCAGTGATGTCTGAGAATCCAGTTTTGTTATCTGCCTACACCAAAGTTTCCTTAGGAGCAGCTCTAAGGCCAAGGTAGAGTGGGAAGGTTTCAGCTCCCCCACAACTCCCAGGAGTCCAGCCAGAAGGCTACAGGACAGGCCTAGCAGAGCCTCTGGAAAGGAAAGTGGAGGCTTGGTACACTCCTTCCCAGTTGGTCAACTTGAGGCTGGCAGCAAAAAAAGGACAGCTTCCCAGGCATCAGTGCCCCACCCTCCTCCAGACAAGAATGAGGGACTCCTGGGAAGGACTGAGCCATCACTACCCAGCATGCTGGTTGTGCAGGACCTTGGAGCTCAGTGCCAACCAACAGGAACCAGTTGCTGGCTCATTAGACAGAGTGAAAGGGGAGCAGGACAGCCCAATGGGCATGCCAGGTGGCCTTGCAAATGAACCCCCTGCATACAAAAAGCCGATCAGTCAAATGCTGACAAGTTTATCATGTCAGGCAGAAAATAAACTATAGCCAAACTCATCCACCATGACTCTGGCACAAATGTGATGGAAACAGAGCAGTGGGCTTGGAGGCACACAGCAGAGGCCGTTTGTCTTGTGAACTCATTGAGCACACGGAGGCTC